GGCTTCCCGCACTTCCAGTTCATCGGCCAGCCGATTTTCGATCAATTCTAAGACAGATCGTCTGGTAACACCATCGAGGATGACTTTGTCTGTCAGTGGCGCAGTCAACAGTAGCGGCTTTGACGTGTGCTCATCTCGAACAACGGCGAAAAAATTACTAGCACCAGCTTCTGTAACCCGACCGTCCTCACCTAGCAACCACAGGATCTGGTCGTAGCCAGCTTCTTGTGCCTCGCAGTGAGATGCAAAACTCGGACCATAGTTGGCGCCAACCTTGGCATAACCAAAGCCGCCGGGCCAAGCCCTAATCGTGTCGTTTCGTGATGTGAGAAGCCGCAGGTCTGATCTGGGTTGTACACCAGGGGGAGATTCGCTGGAAAAGTCAGGCCAGCAAACCATCGTGATCAATAAGGTCGCTTCTTTGGGAATTTGTACGCCAAGTTGACGACCAGTTCCGATCAACGCAGGTCGGATGTAGCGAAAGCTGCCGGGCTCTGGCAGCCACCCTATCATTGCTTGTAAGCCAAGTCGAACTCAACACCAACGATGAAACATCGAATCTCTCACTTTTTGAATCGACACGGATTAGAGCTTTAATCAGCTCTACCAGCTGCTCAGGGTCGAAATCTGGCAGCGAAACCCTCTTTGCACTCATGGCCAGACGCTTTGCATTGCGATCTGGCCTGAAAAGTCTCAGACGGCCATCAAATCCACGATAGATCTTCATTCCCTCAAAACATTGTGTAGCATAATGGATGCAAGAAGCAAGAGGCGAGATAGTCAGATCACCGAAAGGCTTAATAATTGGATCTTCCCAGCCCTCATCTACCGTCCAACGGCAAGTAACCATATGATCGGTCGCAACGTTCTGTGCCCATAGTTCAGCGGAACCAGGTTCGGGGACTGGGCGGAAAATTGATGCCTGAATGAATTCCAGTTTGGACGCATTGAGCTGCTTCTTAAGGGTATGTTTGGCGGAGATTGAGCCGTTCGTCTTGCTTGGGCAGCACTCAGCCATCGCAACTACTTAGTAAATTATCAGACTAGAGAGACTTTGTACTGAAGCAACAAGGACTTCCTGGCCATCTCAGCTAGATATGGATTGCATGCTCAAGAAAACTTGATTGCATTTGCTGTGTCTTAGAAAATGACCCTTCCACATCACTAGACTGAGTTTGAGAAAGTGGGGCAATTGAAGGGCGCAAAACTTTACGCCCTGTGGGAAACGACGGACCTCCGATATGAACTCCGAAGCCCGTATCCTCGTATCTTCCCACACTCTCAATCTATCAATTCGGAGTTGGATTCACAATGAACTCGCAAGAATCCCCACCCATTGACCCGTCTTGTGCTGGGCAAGACTGGCTTTTTTGGTTGCACCAACATGGGGACAGCCTCCGCCCAACAGCGGAAGTCACTAACCTGCCCACGACCAATTCCCTCAATCTCGATGCCCCTTTAGTCGACGACGTGCTACAGCCTAGGCCTGATTCGTTGCAGACTGATACATGGGAGGAATCGGATCATAGAAATACTTCAACCCTCTTGTGTGGTATCACACCAAATCCCACCGCACCTTTTGTCGAGGACGCCTCAGTTCTACCGTCGGGTGGATGTTATGGAGTACCTTCAGACTCTTCTGTAGGATCCGTAGATTCCTTCCAGTCTTCAACAACGTCGGCTACTCGTTTGAGACGTCGGAGGAGGCAGACACACCGACAAAGAGACACGACAAGAAGTCGGGAGACAATCGTCAGAAGATATCAGTGTACGTTTTGTACAGATGCCTTCAAAACAAAACATGATTGGCAGCGGCATGAAACAACTATGCATTTGAGCCTTGAACAATGGAAGTGAGTCAAACCGGAGTGGTGTGTGACAGGCGATATCTGACTTCCAAGCAGGTGTTCGAGATACGGTCCAACAATACAGCGCCCAGATGGGCATACTTATTGCGTCTTCTGTGACTGCCCTGATCCTTCAGCTGAGCATCCCGAACTACACAATTACTCAGCCTGTGTCGCTCAGCCGGAGGAGGCACGGCTATTTCACCGTAAAGACCATCTACGACAACATCTTCGCTTGTTTCACCGAGGGTGCAACTTTAGTGATTCCATGAAGAGTTGGCTTTCATCTATAGACAACGTCAAATCCCGATGTGGATTCTGTGATGCGGAGATGGGCACCTGGACTGAGCGACAAAAGCACCTGGCTGTACACTTTCGTACAGGGTCTGATATGAGAGAATGGAAAGGTGATCGAGGCTTCGAACGGAAAATCGACGACATCGTGGAAAATGATATGCCTGCCTTTCTCATCGGCGACCAACGGCATACAATGGAGCCATTCTCAGCTTCAAGGGCTGACCATCGCACAGACGCACCTATAACAACCTCTCTTGGTCCACTTAGCAGTGCGGAAACTAGCCCTGGACTGACATTAGATCAGATAGAGGCGCCCCAAAGCAGTCATTCACACCGAGAAATAGAACGGCTCTTATTGCGATACGTATCTGCGGAGATCACTCAAGGTCGTGTACCATCAGACCGTCAAATACAGAGGAGGACTAGTGAGATCATGTATGGGCCGGACAATGCGTGGGATGCGACGTGGGCTGACAGTCCCCAGTGGCTCGATATGTTTAAAAAGAAAGCTGGGTTGATCAGTCTGCCGCTTAGTGGAGGGAAAAATGCATTTGTAGGATACGATGCTTTATAGGTACATTGAATCTAGGGTCTTATTACTAAATGGTAAATAAAGTTGGGACGTAAGTGCCAAGGAGTGTATGAGTGACATCAATAGGAATGTGACTAATTATGGTCTTCCAGAACTGGAATGTATCATTCCACGCATAATGTTCGTACTTTACTGAAATAGGTCCTGGGATAGCTGAGAAATCAAGAGAGCCATCCTCAATCCCGATTAAGCAGTTTGATGTGTTTCATTGCTCCCCGACAGCATCTTCCCTATATATAGTTACTCACCCTAGATTATGGAACCAGAGAATTGTATCACAGTACCCCTCAGGTTAGGCATTGTAATCGGGAAGTTCAATCCAGGGACGTCCACTCCTATCATCATCAGCGTTAAGTGGCCTATTGTGATACGGGTTTCGTCATTAATGACTGAAGCCGCCATTATGTTTGGGGACCCAAAGTGAGCACGTCCGATCCGGTTGCGCAAGGTGAAAAAGGCGTTGATAATCAGCTCTCTGTCCAAAATCGGAATACTGTTGAGATTATGGAGACCCGCGGTGTGAAAAGTAAGTGTCCATTCGTTTCCATCGCCGTCACTGACAGTACCTATGGCTGATCGTCGCCTCGTGAAGTGACCATTATCGCTGTTCCAACTGGTGCGTAGCCGGGCAGTTATGTCAGCTAGAAGTATTAGTACAGGACCATAGCCATCAAAAGACTATGTGCTTACCTTGATTTCGTGTCGTCATATCCGCTCCAAGTGCCGAATCCCACCTCGCCCACTGTTCCCTCACCACAAATTGAGTGTGTCTGACCCCCTCCTCATCTCTCCGGGCGAGAGCTCTCCTTTTCTCGACGTTGTGTTTTTTTACATATCGCTTGGCTTTGCCTGGCTGGTCAAAATCGTGATTATTGTGTCTCGTCAACTTTCTCGTCGCAAGGTGAACCTCAGCATAACTATGTTCTTCGCCGAATTGTTCAAAGCCCTCTATAGCGGTTATGCCGCCGGTGGAGCCATCATCGGCCCTGCAAATGGAGTCCTGAATCTGGGCTGCAGCCAGTATTGCGCCCGTAGATATGTGTGTGCCGACGGGCCGCTGATTGCAAAGTTCGATACCACAATCACCACTCCAAGTGATTTCTGTGCAACCATCGTGTGGCCCATTCCAGACGCTATCATATTTGAGCAAGTTTTCGAGATATTCGAGAGCGCTAGCGCAGTCCTCTGTTTTGGCCCGTGTCGTCTTGACATCCCAGCACTGTGTTCCCCATATCGTTTTGGGTAGCTCAGCAGCACCAGCCTCAGTAACAAGAACCCAAAGCACTGCTAACAGACTAAGGGTGGTCTGAGGTGTAAAGTGCATTCTTGCGAAGGCTACGTCTTGCAGCTCACTTGAGTGGGAAAATACCAGGTTAAAAGAAGAAAACAAACGAAAGTAATAAGCGAGTGAATATAATAGTTTGGTGATATGTCGATGATTAGAACACAGGATGAATGCGTATTAAACGACTTCGGCAGGATATTTATATTTGATTTTCTATGGGTTATTTATAGTCCTGCTGCGGGTTTATAGAGTATGTGTGGTAAATCTATATTAGTTGTCCAACATTGGAATCAGTCTCGTCCTCGTATAGTGAGCTATTAATATTCATATATATTTATACATCTACACAGGGCTCTTACTTGATGTCTCGAACAGTTAATATCCGATTTCCGGTACTTCCTACTTCTGGAAATCCGAGTCCAGCTGGTTACATCGGTTTTCGGGAGTGTCAGCCCTAGTAATGCTACTTTAAGTATCAGTCAATTTTATCCGGATGTTTCTAACTGACCACATAGTAAGCATAGCCCACGCCGTAATCATCCTTTCGAAGGCGCAGCAGCAACGCGCTTATGCATATAAGATATTAAAGTGGATTGAATGACGTTCTCTTTACATTATCCACTCTGACGGTAATTGTGAAACCTACGGAACATTTCTTCCTACTTTTATTATTACTAGGGCTTGAATTGTTGACAAAGAAAAGCAGCTGATAGGACCCCAGCAGCTCACCATCTACCTACTACTGAGGGGGCCTGCCATGCCATGGTCTCCTGGATTGCATATCGATACCGTGGCTGAGCTTGCATTCCCGGTGCATAAGCAACCTCTCCTCTATCAGACTTTCGATTGAATGCCACATAATATAACCTCGTAGCCAAGCAGGCTACCATGCAGATCCCTTGAGTAACCCCCGCAGTGATCTGAGCGGGTCGGTATACCGGGGCATCTTCGTCTCGATAACTCACAGAAGAAATGATGCGGGGGTCGGTAGCGCAACGGTCAGTGCGTCGCTAGGTACCCGACGGTTTCCTTAACCGAAGGCGATAGGTTCGAACCCTATGACTCCTATAACCTAAGGAGCCTCTGCGAGGCGAATTTTGAGGACTTGGCTATGCCGGGGTAGGCTATAGCATCCGGGGCGGTTTTAAGCTAGCTAGGGGGTTAAGGTTTTTCCTAGTACGGCTAATTTTCCCCCTCCTAAGAAGTAATGAATTTTTCCGCATATCTTCGAGATAATCCTGAGAAGTAGTGGAATATAGTGTTCAGCTAATAGTAAAAGGTAAATTAACTAGCTAGCTGGCATAGATAGTTAATATATACCACATTGACACGAAGAAATGATGCCTGCTAGGTTCATGGCCATGCAGTTCAGTCCGAGTGCAACTGTTTGACCTGTCGTTGTTGGGACATTGGAGGACAGCAAGACTGGGACCAGATTGCTCGAGGTGAAGGTGGCAAAGGTGATGAGGTAGGTAAGAAATCACCTAGCTTCGGGGCTGTTGACAAGGTCAAGACCCCGAAAAGGATCCACGCTATCAAAGATACCACAAAGGTTCTACAAACGATAGAAGCTCGTTGCTGATACTGGCCTGAGAACCACATTTTGGTTAATTGGATGACGGACGCTGTGAGATTGGGTCCCACTGTGTAAAGGTTCGCTTTCACGATATCCTTGGTCAGTCGCTTAATCATGGCCTGTGGTAATCGTGTTAGCCTCATAATGTAGAGTCGACTATGGGAGTAGTGGTTTCCCGTCTGGAATATTTACTGGAAGAAAGTTTGAGCTGCTTGCTACGCCAACTCCGTACATCAGTGTCAGAAATGCAAATGCCCATGTCTGCCAAAGCTTCAACTGGTGATAGCATAGTTCCATCTCAAGTGTTTATCTTGAGCCTGCGAGTCTCGTTCAACGCCAGCGATGGCCAGCTGTCGCCCCTCCATGGAGTCCAACTACACTTCTCGGACCTCGAGGAGCACAGATATACAGATATATGGCTACTGCGATGGTGATACCGCCTTCAATTAAGTATAAGTATTGTCAACCATAGGTTTTGTTAGGTATCCTATAGTATTCGGAGTATTGTGTGTATTCTACGTGGAGCTTTCTATTCCATTGGAACACTGCCCAAGAGATGAGCCCACTGACGGCGCCAGCAATAAGGCCCATCTGTCCGATCCACGAGACACGGAACCCCATCTCCTTGCGGGTGTAAAAGCTGGATAGGTAATATAGATCACATGGCTTGTATGAGGCTTCCACTGTGCCCATGAAAAACCGAACAGCGAAGATGTCCGCTGATTTCTTCGAAGCGACGGTTGCCATAGTCAGTCCACCTCAAAGTCCCACCGCAAGAGGGATAAATAACGGTTGGGTTGAAGCGTTTCGACAAGATCGACCAGGGAATATTGAACGAGGCGTAGGGTATATAGAAGGTGGTGAGCAGGAGTGAGAATTGATCTGCAGACATGTTTAAGTCTCGCTCAATGCCGTCCGTTTTGGTGTTACCCAGATTAGCTCGGTCGAGCGTGTTGGTGAAGTAGGCAAAACCTGTTAAATAGTCAGAGATTTTTCAAATCTGAATGCAATCGTCTCACATAGTCCAGGCATCACCAAAAGGTCTGTCTTTCTCAGCAACCGCTTCAAGATAACTCCGTCATCGGTTGGCTGCTGAGCATCTCGGACTTGGACTGCTCTGTCCGTCTCCTTTTTGCCGTCTTTGCCACTGCCTGACATCTTTGTTTGTCGCTCATAGTCTACAGGCTTAAATTCGATGCTTAAGAACGATCTATATGTTGTGATTTCTTCTGGTGTCGGATTCTATCTCTACAAAGTCCAAGATACCTCTTAATATACCCTTCCCTTGGGCGCCGTCCCCCCCCCCCTCATTGATGGCGAGAGCCCGTGCGTGACAAAACCAGGCATGGCTTCAAGTATTATGAATCTCCGCACGATAGTGTTGAGTTATAGCTGGGATGGTGTCACGCCATATATGAACCGGAATACATTATCCGTTCAACGCATGCTGAAGCACCACACTTGCGGCAATTGTATCATTAGTAGCTCAATTTTTCCCAGGAAAGCGAGTGGAACGTTATTAGATATGTATCAGCGAATGATCACGTGCGCTAATTGATAGTGATTTGATTTGCAGAAATGACAGCTGCGGGGTTGGTAGTTGTCTAGTCGATAACGAATGGCCTCGTTCAATGTCTAGACTATCCGGGGTATTATCTCGGTTGATATGCACCGGGAATGTCATAAACCCATGCTGTGGAATCACGATGCTCTGTCCAGTGAACTTAGTTAATCCTATACCTCCTTCCCTACCTTCAAACCGCCATGCCACCCTTCCTCATTTCCACTAAACTGGTGTGGCTGTCGGCTGTCCCCAAGCCTCCCCGGCCGCTCTCTCCCGGGTCTCACGAAATATGTATGGCGAACGCTTATATCCGGTGTACCATTTCCTACCTTCCCATTCCTCCTCTACAGGGGGCTCATTGAGTTGTATCTCTTTAGCACGTTGTTTAGTTTCTCCCCAAACTCGAAGCAAGTTTTCCCCAGAAAGAAGACGGATCTGCTGTTCTGTAGCACCGCGGGCCATGAGTAGTTCTACGAGGTGAGGTTATTTAGAAACATCCCGGTAGCGTATATCAGTATTGTAAGATAATAGTGCTTGGAAATGAAGCAGAACGCTTACCTCTAGACCCGAGGGTGTAAATGGAGTGCCACTGAAATCTGAGCCGATACCAACGTAATTCCATCCAGCGAACTCGGCCAGATGCCATGTATGATCCACCACATCGTGGATTGTCGAGGTACACAGATCTCTCATATTCAGATACCGATTCAAAAATACTGCCATTAATATGCCACCATTCCTCTTAACACTACGTAATACGTCATCTGGGACGTTTCGGAGATGAGACGTGATGGCATAAGCGCCAGAGTGAGAAGACAATGGGAGCGCGAGAGAGCGAAAGCATGGCACGCATCTTCTGGTCTGATACATGCGCCAAGTCAATCATCATGCCTAGACGATTGATCTCTTTGACATATGCTGCTCCAAAAGGTGTCAGTCCTTGGTCGGCTTCCGGACCTCTCGCAGCCAGCGTTGAAGCTGACGCTGCTCAAGCATTATCACAATTGTGTGTTGTAGTTATATACCGCACACCAAGATCATACATCTGGCGGATAGAAGTGATAGAAGAACCAAGCTGGTGGCCACTCTCGATGCCAAGCATGCTGGCTATGTGACTGCTGCTAAACGCAGATCGCACACAGGATGGCGTCGTGCAATATGCAAAGACGTCAGGACATTTTGTGAGATGAAGCGCTTCGCTACATTTGACTTGCTCCAGGTTACTCTCATAACCCACTACAGATCCAAGTCAGTGACAGTCAGACCTTGTCCTTGAAACTTGGTACACTTACTGAAGGGTCTTGGAAATGCTCCTGAGGCGCATTGCAATGCACATAGACACGCCAGAATTGGCCGCTCATCTGGCCTTACCTCATTCTGGTAATGTCTGTGTGACCCAGAAGTTTTTGATGACGATCAAACCGCTTATCTCGAATACGGTTATGCAATTCAACTCAGAGAAGCCATGCAAGGCCATTGTGTCCATCGATGAGCGGCGAGCTCTCCAAGATACGCTGAGCACGAAAGTCATACCTCGTCGGATCAATAGACTCTTCGCCTAACCCCAAGTAGGCCAAAGGTGTAGCTAGGAGATCTAGGCCGGCTAGTATGACTCCATAAGGCTACGGACGACGCTATGCAGAGACTGCCATGAACGTGACCACTACAGCCCTTGAACCGTCGCTCTAATCTGAGGCCGACGTCTCTCTTGTCGCCATCTGTTCCTCCATGGTTGCTTGACAGTCTCAGCACTGAGCTCAAGCTGGAATGTACAAGGCTTCCTCAAATAATCATGAAGTTATCCGGACTTCAACATCACTTAACCTACATCTCCGCCCACCTCCATTGTATTCCCTGTGGTCAAGCTATAGTATAGTAGTGTACCCACTGCAGGATCCCTGGTTGCATATGGCGTCAATGCCAGGACATCTGTGAGGTTGCGTGATACATGGCTGTGGTCACGAGAAACTGCAGTCAGGGTACCAACAGCCAGTATGCGACTACTCTGGGCCTCTAGATTACCCAGGTCAAAAATACCTGCAGCCATAGGCGGGATATAAATGCCTTGCCTGAGCACTGAGGCAAGAGAGGAATAAGCGCAAGGACACTTTAAATACGTATCTTCGTAGAATGCTTGATGTAGTTTAATTTATCCATGAATCGACTGCCCTTGAATTCTTTTGTGTTTTTGAACAGCTCAGTAGCGTAGCTGTATTGTCTGGGTGTCTGAACCACAACATGGCGCTGGCCTTGTACTCAACGATTGGTTTGAGTTTGATTACCTTCTAATTTTCCTTCTTGCCCTTTGGTAGTTTCAAAGGAATCTTTTCGAGTTCGGCTACACACCTGGCCGTCTTAGTGGTGGGCAACAAAATAATATGGATTCGCTGTCGAATTCCCAATCTTCCTGGTCCATGCGGGCATCCTGTTACTGGCATTTTTCCAGCGTTGCATGGTCAAACCAACTCTGAAGAGTGTCGGAAATGGGGCACGAGGTAAGGTGATGTATTCCAAGTGCAGCTCGGAAGCTCCACGCCGTCATTGTCGACAGCGTAGTAGCAGCTCGCTCTTTCTTCATCTCACAACAAGAGGCTGCCAACTCCTGGCCGCAATTCTTCGCCTTGCACAAGAAGGTGCAAGAAGGTGAACCGATTACTAGTATTCAGAATAAGTGTTTAGGACAATAGTTGTAAGAAGAAAAGAAAGATTCTTGCCAGTGCTCTGAACAAAATAAGCGTAGCCAGTTACCTTTCGGTAGGCATCTCGTTCTTCATTAAGCAGCCCAGGGCCTCCGATGGTGAACAGGTTAATTTCACTTACTTAGATATTGGACTTCGAGTCGTGGGGATTTCTAAGTGACGTTCTGGCAACTTACGGTGATGGACCCGAGGCTGACGCTAAGCTAGACGCCTGTCACAAGCTGGCCTT